ATATATTAACCTATATTAACCTATATTAACCTATATTAATATTAACTATAATTATTAGTATAATTATATTAATACAACTATATTATATGTTAACCTATATTATATATCACACATATATCACTTCGTATTCTACAACCAAACCAAACTTCAAACTCTGAATCACTCATTTCTCTCTCAAATGAAACACACGTTTCCCGATCAATTTACCGGGTGTACCCAGAAACAGGTATCCAAGAAACATCAATAAACCTCGATATTAAACTTGAAAATATAACTCTTGAAAGATTAAAAAAAGCACCCAATGAAGGCGAGATAAAGCAGCGCGTAGCAAAGTGGAGCGCCGTGGCTCACGGTAGTCCACCGCTCCTCTCACTCCCCTGCCCCTCCCATGTGTCGCCGTGGCGGTCATTGGGAGAAAGGAGAAAATCGTGAAAAGTCGAGGACCGATCGGCAAGATAGAAAGAGAGGCCGCGACTAAGAGAGTGGCGAGAAGGCAGAGATCGGGAACGGCCGATCCTTTCTTTCTCTGCACGCTCTCTCTCTCGCTCTCTCTCTTTCTGGAAGTCGTCGCTCACTCTCTTTCTCTCTCTCTCTCTCTCTCTCTCTCTTTCTGGAAGTCGTCGCTCTCTCTTTATCTCTCTCTTTCTCTCTTTGGAAGTCGTCGCTCTCTCTCTCTCTCTCTCTCTGGAACTCGACTCTCTCTCTTTCTCTCTCGTTCTCTCTCTGGAACTCGATTCTCTCTCTCTCTCTCTCTCTCTGGAACTCGTCTCTCTCACTCTCTCTCTCTCTCTCTCTCTGGAACTCGTCTCTCTCTCTCTCTCTCTCTCTCTCTCTCTCTCTCTGGAACTCGTCTCTCTCTCTCTCTCTCTCTCTCTCTCTGGAACTCGACTCTCTCTCTCTTTCTCTCTCTTTCTCTCTCTGGAACTCGATTCTCTCTCTCTCTCTCTCTCTGTCTCTGGAACTCGTCTCTCTCACTCTCTCTCTCTCTCTCTTTCTGGAACTCGACTCTCTCACTCTCTCTCTTTCTCTCTCTGGAACTCGACTTTTTCTCTCTCTTTCTCTCTCTCTCTCTCTCTCTGGAACTCGACTCTCTCTCACTCTCTCTCTTTCTCTCTCTGTCTCTCTCTCTCTGGAACTCGACTTTCTCTCTCTCTCTTTCTCTCTCTAGAACTCGACTCTGTCTAACTCTCTCTCTCTCTCTCTCTCTCTCTGGAAGTCGTTACACTCGCTCTCTCTCGCTCTCTCTCGCGCTCTCTTTCTGGAAGTCGTCGCTCTCTCTTTCCCTCTCTCTCCCTCTCTCTCTCGCGCTCTCTTTCTGGAAGTCGCCGCTCTCTCTTTCTCTCTCTCTCTCTCTCTCGATTATCTCTCTCGACTCTCTCTCTCGCTCTCTCCCTCTCTGGAACTCGTCTCTCCCTCTCTCTTTCTCTCCCTCTTTCTCTTCTCGCGTCTCTCGCTCCGTCTCCGACACGGTTGCCCTGTCTCTCTCTCTTCGCCGGTTCACCTGAGAATCGGGGAATGTCCTCGTAGCGAGAGCGGTCGTCAGTGTCTCGGTAGGCCTCGATCTGGAGCCTAGCAACTCTTCAGGAAACGATCGCCGCGCCGGCTCGATCGCGTGCCGCCCGCAGTGTCACGTGCGCTCTCGATCGTCCCGGTAGATCATGCTGACGGTTCGCGCCGCGAAATCCCGGTGCCGTCGATCACACAACGGAGGAGCCAAAAGGTAGAGGAATCGCGCGCGCGCGCCGATCGTCAAGAATTCCGGCCGATTCTTCCGGCAACCGGATCGCCCGCGTTTCCGCTTCCATTTGTCCGCGTCTTCGCGCTTTGCTTTGCTTTGCTTCGCTTCGACTCGATTCGTCTCCTCGTGATTTTATTGCTCCGATTTCGACGCGTTCCGCCGGCAATCGTGCGTAAAAGAGTGTCGCGGGGAATAATAATTATTATTAATCGGTAATAATTATATTATTTGTCGATAATAATTATTAGTGATAATTATTACCGCGTATTATAATACGTCGCTGCCAAACGTGGCAAACAGCTGCCTCGTTCCTTTCGTGTGACAGTGAAATTCTGGAGGGAAAGGTCGAACGGAGCGGAACGGAACGGAACGAGGATTAACCGTTTGCACTCGAAGACATTTTAATTGTAAATCTAAAATAATTTTTTAATATTATAATTTAATAATTTAATAATCTTTTTTGCTTGTTATATTCACTGGTTTATTATTCTTTTATTTATTTATTATTTTCACTAATTTATTATTTATTATCCATTATTTTCACTGATTTATTATTTATTATCCATTATTTTCACTGATTTCTTATTTCTCATTTATTATTTTCACTGATTTATTATTTCTTACTTATTATTTTCACTGATTTATTATTTCTTACTTATTATTTTCACTGATTTATTATTTCGTACTTATTNATTATTTTCACTGATTTATTATTTCTTACTTATTATTTTCACTGATTTATTATTTCTTACTTATTATTTTCACTGATTTATTATTTCGTACTTATTTATTATTCTTCATTGATTTATTATTTTTTACTTATTGTTTTCACTAATTTACTATCTTCTACATATTTATTATTTTGAACTAACGAGCTGGGAATGCCGTAACAATATTATTTAGAACAGATAACAATTTATCTTACGTTTATACAATTTCATATTCGAACCACTAATTTTCGCCACAAAATAAAAACCCCCATAAAACGCATCTCGATTGTACACATTTATTGACGCTCATATTATCAATCTATATAAAGTCTGTGAAGTCTATAAAGTTTGTGAAGTCTATAAAGCATTTCTAAAACAATTTCGCAAAATATCGATGCACATATTAGGCCGAATCGGTTTTCATAACTCGCTTAAAAAATGTTATCGATCGGCAATCTAACGTTTCGACGAACGGGAAACACGGGAACAAAACAGGTTGCAACACACGTTTTGCAAGCAATAAACGTAGAAAGTAGAACAAGGAACGACATCAGTTTTGTAACGTCTGGTCGGAACATGCCTGACAATTCTTTTCACGGTGATTAGCGGAAAAGATGTACATACGCTGTTAACCCGTTCGCGTCATTAGCGCGACTATGCGCGCGATTTGCTTGGCGATTATCATCAGCAGAATGCTTGGACGGTGTTCTTGGATCGCAAGCGAACGCGCGTGCTGTTATTAGAGGCGGAATAGATTAGATCAGATTTTAACGAGAGCTAAAATTGTTAACAAGTGTTAATTATTAATTTATTGTTTTTATTCTTTATGCTTTGCAAAATTGCTTTAAAATTTATTCGGAAAATTAATCGTTCGGCGAATTTGCAGATAATTTCGCGGCGATTTCCTAGCGTTATAAAGTCTCTGTAATTGTTAACTTAATTGTTAACTTTCTAAATTGTAACTTAAATTGTAACTTAACTTAGATTGTGACACGATTGTTAAACAATTAAAGAAACTTTAGAATGCTAGGACATCGCCACGAAATTAGGTTATAATTCGGATTCGTCTAATGATTGATTTTTCAAATAAATTAAAAAACTAATTTTGTCGAGTGTAAAGGTTAAATTAATAAATTAATAAATAATAAATAATAAATAAATAGTTTGATAGGCCGTGGATGCGATCGTTGTAGTTCTCGAACAACTTTTTAAGAACTTCGTAATTGTTGGTTTTCGATTTCAGAAGAAGCGTTAAAAAATCGCCGCGCCGGTAGATAAATGTTGAAATTCGAAACTAGTAGATCAGGATACATTGTTCGTTTCTTCCATTGTTCAAGCCTTCGATACATGATCCGGTTCTATGTGGAAAATATTCTTGACACGGTACAGACTCTTTTAACCGAACAGTTATATTTATAATATTATATAAATATTAGTTATTAATTTTTATTAATTTAGTTATTATTGTTGGGATTATGGAATGAAAATGAATATGATTCTAATACTTTGCTTAAAAGGACTTTATTTTATTCTCTTAATGAGAGAAGGTATATGAGCGAAACAGATCGAGCGATCAAACTCTACTAAGGTGCCCGGTAAGAAGAAACGCTTCTTTTATACTCTTTTTGGGTTCGTCGTGTCCACCAATCAGAGACGTTTTATTTGTCGCGTCTTACATTGTATACGTGACGGTCAGGGCACGATGTACATCAAAAGGTACCGGCGATGATGTATCGCGGCATCTAATATATACAGATTCCGTCACCGTCGCTGCCCGCTGACGGAGCCGGCGAAATGTAAACCGATATCTTAACTGAAGATATCTTACTAAGTAAACTATAGATTAATTTTTGTTCGAGGCTAA